TCATAGTGATTAAGATTATAACACAATGTTGACTGCTGTACCCCTATTTTTGACATTTTTACCTATTATGTCTGTTTGTTTTGTTCGCACATCGTTATAATGGAAATTTATGCGACTGTCATACAAGTGAGAGGTTTAGCTAGCTATAAAACCAAGTTTAATCCACCATTTTCTACAAAAGAAAATGGCTGTACCAAGTCAGGAACATGACAGTTGTTGTTCATTCGTTTGATGTGTTTGAGCTTTTGATTTTGCCATTTGAATAGGGACTTTCCGTTTTGAATTTTCCTCAGAGTTCGGTATTTTTGTTATTTTATTATTTTTATACACTGTTTGGCGTTCAGTCCCTAAATAATAGTTTCGAACTGTCTCCTGTACCTTCAATATATGTCGCGAAGTGGCTACGAGCATCAAATACTTAAATAATGTTAAATGTATTTCCACATACAAAAAAACTACAGACCAATAAAAAAGACTAGCAGGTTATTTTATTAATTGCTTCCACTGTATTGTTTATATATATATCACTGAAGAGACATTAATTGTCGAAATCCGGATATGGTGTACAAAAATCTTTGCACCTTTGTTTGCGGTATACCATCTTTGCCGCAAGTTAATTGTTTTCTGTTTGGTATTAAATTTATAATTAAGATCCATTAATTACACCTTGTGGTCCGTTTATTTGGCAATCGCCAATGGCAGTCAGCAGGGTTTAAGAACATTTGTTGTTCGACCTGTTAGTCAAATGCGTTTTGTTAAAATATACTTTTTCACTATTTTGGTCTTTTGGAAAATGTTGTTTGTGCTGTATTTAGACCTCTCTAACAAGAAATTTGTTTTGCATGCACACGTATAAAAATTGCGGTTTTTATCCAACGCAATCATAGGTTTGAACGTTGTTTTCAATTTAGACTTGTAAATATATATATATATATATATATATATATATATAGGTATGAACGTTGTTTTTCAATTTAGATCTGTTTATATATATATATATATATAAATATTGTTTTCTGTTTGGTATTAAATTAATATAATTAAGATCCATTGTGTTACATCTGTGATCCGTTTATTTGGCAATCGCCATGGCAGTCAGCAGTGTTTAAGAACATCCGTTGTTCGACCTGCTAGTCAAATGCGTTTTGTTAAAATATACTTTTTCACTTTTTTGGTCTTTTGGAAAATGTTGTTTGTGCTGTATTTAGACCCCTCTACAAAGAAATTTGTTTTGCATGCACACGTATAAAAATTGCGGTTTTTATCCAACGCAATCATAGGTTTGAACGTTGTTTTCAATTTAGACTTGTTTATATTTTTTCGTTTGGGCTTGTATTATATTTGCCTTCGGGTTTATATGATCCGTTCATCCTATTTCGACTCTTCAAAATTCAAGAGTCAATCCCAAATTGAGGTAAATTATATGGCCTTCCAAATACCGTTTCGATTCCTAACATCAGTGAAGAGACATTACTTGTCGAAATCCGGATATGGTGTACAAATTTTTGCACCTCATGTTTGCGGTATACCATCTTTTCCGCAAGTTTATTGTTTTCTGTTTGGTATTAAATTAATATAATTAAGATCCATTGTGTTACATCTGTGATCCGTTTATTTGGCAATCGCCATGGCAGTCAGCAGGGTTTAAGAACATCCGTTGTTCGACCTGCTAGTCAAATGCGTTTTGTTAAAATATACTTTTTCACTTTTTTGGTCTTTTGGAAAATGTTGTTTGTGCTGTATTTAGACCCCTCTACAAAGAAATTTGTTTTGCATGCACACGTATAAAAATTGCGGTTTTTATCCAACGCAATCATAGGTTTGAACGTTGTTTTCAATTTAGACTTGATTATATTTTTTCGTTTGGGCTTGTATTATATTTGCCTTCGGGTTTATATGATCCGTTCATCCTATTTCGACTCTTCAAAATTCAAGAGTCAATCCCAAATTGAGGTAAATTATATGGCCTTTCAAATACCGTTTCGATTCCTAACATCACTGAAGAGACATTACTTGTCGAAATCCGGATATGGTGTACAAATTTTTGCACCTCATGTTTGCGGTATACCATCTTTTCCGCAAGTTTATTGTTTTCTGTTTGGTATTAAATTAATATAATTAAGATCCATTGTGTTACATCTGTGATCCGTTTATTTGGCAATCGCCATGGCAGTCAGCAGGGTTTAAGAACATCCGTTGTTCGACCTGCTAGTCAAATGCGTTTTGTTAAAATATACTTTTTCACTTTTTTGGTCTTTTGGAAAATGTTGTTTGTGCTGTATTTAGACCCCTCTACAAAGAAATTTGTTTTGCATGCACACGTATAAAAATTGCGGTTTTTATCCAACGCAATCATAGGTTTGAACGTTGTTTTCAATTTAGACTTGTTTATATTTTTTCGTTTGGGCTTGTATTATATTTGCCTTCGGGTTTATATGATCCGTTCATCCTATTTCGACTCTTCAAAATTCAAGAGTCAATCCCAAATTGAGGTAAATTATATGGCCTTCCAAATACCGTTTCGATTCCTAACATCACTGAAGAGACATTACTTGTCGAAATCCGGATATGGTGTACAAATTTTTGCACCTCATGTTTGCGGTATACCATCTTTTCCGCAAGTTTATTGTTTTCTGTTTGGTATTAAATTAATATAATTAAGATCCATTGTGTTACATCTGTGATCCGTTTATTTGGCAATCGCCATGGCAGTCAGCAGGGTTTAAGAACATCCGTTGTTCGACCTGCTAGTCAAATGCGTTTTGTTAAAATATACTTTTTCACTTTTTTGGTCTTTTGGAAAATGTTGTTTGTGCTGTATTTAGACCCCTCTACAAAGAAATTTGTTTTGCATGCACACGTATAAAAATTGCGGTTTTTATCCAACGCAATCATAGGTTTGAACGTTGTTTTCAATTTAGACTTGTTTATATTTTTTCGTTTGGGCTTGTATTATATTTGCCTTCGGGTTTATATGATCCGTTCATCCTATTTCGACTCTTCAAAATTCAAGAGTCAATCCCAAATTGAGGTAAATTATATGGCCTTCCAAATACCGTTTCGATTCCTAACATCAGTGAAGAGACATTACTTGTCGAAATCCGGATATGGTGTACAAATATTTGCACCTCATGTTTGCGGTATACCATCTTTTCCGCAAGTTTATTGTTTTCTGTTTGGTATTAAATTAATATAATTAAGATCCATTGTGTTACATCTGTGATCCGTTTATTTGGCAATCGCCATGGCAGTCAGCAGGGTTTAAGAACATCCGTTGTTCGACCTGCAGGTCAAATGCGTTTTGTTAAAATATACTTTTTCACTTTTTTGGTCTTTTGGAAAATGTTGTTTGTGCTGTATTTAGACCCCTCTACAAAGAAATTTGTTTTGCATGCACACGTATAAAAATTGCGGTTTTTATCCAACGCAATCATAGATTTGAACGTTGTTTTCAATTTAGACTTGTTTATATATATTAATATATATAATGTCTAAAAATAGCAACAATCAACATCCAATCTATTTAGGCGTGGATCAGTTTGTAAAATAAACTGATACAGTTACTGAATTAAAATTATATAAATGTCTAAGAATATAACTTAAACACGCTAATTGATACATTAAAAAGTTCTATTAGATTTGAAATAGAAATACGCAATATTTCGCTAGACAAACTAGCTTCATCAGGCGTGTGCATCTCTCAAGGTGAAATCGGATGCATGACAAAAAAAATATTTTTGTAGCAATGTTTAACTTTTACTCAAATTTTGTGTAGTTTAAGCTACAAAAATATTTTTTTTGTCATTCATCCGATTTCATCTTGAGAGGTGAAAACAATATTCAAAGATCTAATTTAGACCGTTTGACATCGAATAAAAATCAAAAATAATCTTATGGTCATGTGTGTTCAGAAAAACCAACAAAAACGAATTAATTCGATCAAACTACACTTAAAATGCAAGTCAAATGACTACATTTTAAGTATAGTTGAAAATGTCGGAAACCTGTGTCCAAAACCCAATGCTTGAAAGATCGTCTCGAGAGTTATACCTTGGACATTATGGATAAAATGTTTGTGTATAAGAATACATATGAAGTTTGTATACAGGCAAATAAAATACCCGTGTATTTACAAAAACATAGTGTGTTAAACGGGAATTCATAAATAAATGATATTGAACTTTATTTCACTGTTGTCCAGTCTGATGTTTGGCTAGAACTGACCAACAAGGGAAAATATTCCTGCTTAATCTCTATATCACGAAATATTAAATACATATACATGTATGAAGTACCCGTATTAATATATAGTATTCAATAGTACTGTTATTACATTAATTTCCCACTATTCTACCGAATCGTGGGAAATTATAATTAAAAATGTTTTTAAAGATTTAAATATGATAGATGTAAAATTTCATAGTTGGGAAATACACAAGGAAGTGTTGCTAGGGAAAAGGTTTATAATTTCCAATAAAAAGTATAGTAAGCTTTACGGGTCATGAATAAATTGTAACGTGTAAAAGAAATTAAACCACATTTGTTAAAGGCGGATATAAATCGAGGAAATTGACTTTGGAAATATTAATACGAATTAGACAATTATTCGGACTAATAGAGCAAAATCTTGTGAAATAAAATGTGTATTCCTGTGAAATAAAATGTGTATTCCTGTGAAATAAAATGTGTATACTTAAGAAATAATTCATGCAAGCCATACATTTTGTTATCATTTTTACATGGCCTTGGCTGTTATATTCGTTAATTCTAAATATACACATTTAATTTTACAAGAGGTAAAGCATGAAAACATATGTATAAAATGATCCTAGTGACTTATATGAAACAAACACTGCCCGAGTTTATTACTTAAAGCATAGCCAAGTTAGAAGTTTTCCATAAATAAATTTTTCGATACAATTTTGCAATATTTTATTTTTTTAATTATTAAATACATTTTTTTTGTAAAGCAATAATTTGATAATAAATCATTAACAACACATGATAAAGCCATTTATTAAAAAAAAACCAACAATCATTTCAAATATATAGAAACTGAATATTTTGCAACCAAGGTCAGAGTGAAGTGGTTTTATATATATTTTTCTGTATTAAATACAAAGTACAGGTAAATTTGAAATGGAAATTTATAATGTACACAAACAGCTAGCGTCATAAGTAAAATAGCCTTTATTTCAAGTGCTCTGTAAAAACTTCACATCTGACATCTGTTTGAAAACGATGGTTTACTATTCTGGCTAAACGAACACAGGGTAAACGGGCGCCTTTTCATTTGAACGCGTGAACTTAATTTTAGTAAACGCACGAAATTCAAGATACACCTGTTGTGTACAAGGCACGTGTTTGTTCTAATAATTTTATTCTAATAAATTTGTTTGTTGTTATGGGACAATAAAATGATAAAATTAATTTCATTTTCGCTTATCAATGACAAAAGGAGAAGAAGAGAAATTGTTTTAACCCTGCAGTTGTAGAACTGTTAAAATTTAAAGAGGTTTGTCATTTTCTTTATGTAACCGAGACATTTTCAAAACATAGACCCATCCAGGTCTCTTGTTAACAGTGATTCAGACAAACTTTATAATTAGAATCAATTTAGATTTGTTATTCAAATGTCGTCAGGACAATTGTTAAGAATTAAACTTTTCAAAGTCAGCACGTTAAGAAAAAGATTAGCAAATCTCCTGAGAACGTTGCCTACATTTGTAGCTGAATCACTGTGATATCTTAAAATCGAACTCTCCCAGCCAAAAATGGCCTTATAATTTTTATTAACTATGTATTTGCATTCAGGTATCACAGATCATATTTATTCGTTCATTGTGTGTTAATTTACGTTTTTTGATTGAGTTAAGCCTTCCAATTGATATTTTATAGTGTGTCTTTCTATGTTGTGATGTTATACTATTGTTTCAGAAAAGGGAGAAGGTTTGGTACCATTAAAACGTTTAATCCCGCTGCAAATGTTTGCACCTGTCCTAAGTCAGGAATCTGATGTACAGTAGTTCATACGTGTTTCTCGTTTCTCGTTTTTATATAGATTAGACCGTTGGTATTCCCGTTTGAATGGTTTTACACTAGTAATTTTTGGGGCCCTTTATAGCTTGCTGTTCGGTGTGAGCCAATGCTCCGTGTTGAAGGCCGTACCTTGGTCTATAATGGTTTACTTTTATAAATTGTTACCTGGATGGAGAGTTGTCTCATTGGCACTCATACCACATCTTCCTATATCTACTTAGATTGAGTCTGTTATTATTTAAAGGTCCCTTTTGGTTGATAAAACTCTTCACGTGTTTCGGTTCTTATACACCATTGGTTAAAACATGTTTAGCTTAAAGCGTTCTCGATAAAGATCAAGAAAATCGTCTGGTGCGCATATAATCTTTATAATGTGTTATTTTCTTCTTTTTGTTAGATAAACCTGTCGTTCGCATTGCATTAATTTGGTATCATAAATTCTAATATAAATAATCACCGGAAATCCACTTTCTCAATTTTTGCCATGTTAAGTCATGATCATTACAGTTTTCTGGCCACTGGATAAATAATACATAGTTCCAAATATGAGTAAGTCCTTCAGGAATATCTTTAAAAGTGATGTCTTTAGATATGACTATAATGTTTTCAATGTTCTGCATACTTATTTCATGTTTCACTCTATCAATTTCAAAAAGACAGTCTCGCGAGACTTTAAATATTGGAGTAAGTAAAAATATAACATGTCTACTGTTTTCTATGCTCTCTGCCTCCGCATCATAAAATGACTCTCCGCCGTAAAAGTCGCGATCTTTTACGCATATTTTAAGCTTCCATTCGTTTTCTAGTTTTGGAATAAAGTATTTTTTAATCCAAGGTATGCAATCCCCTCCATATGAAACGAAAACGTCATATGTGTAGTTTTTACGATATTTCTTTTCAACAATTTTTCGAAATATGCGGTAGAAAAATACAGCTATGTTCCATCGTCTACTGTATAATAAAAATATCACAGCCACAATACAACTTGTTCCTAACAAAGTGGACGAGACCATCAGCCATATTGAATTTCTACAGGGAGAAAACAAATCATGCATGTTTTCATATGCTTCGAGTACGGTTATGACTGTACCGTTCAAAAGTGTACATTTGAATGATCTGTTGTCTAGATTTACTTTGGTTTCTTGTATCCATTTGATGAAATCCAAATTATCACAATTACATTCAAATGCATTGCCATCAAGAAGAAAATATAAACCATGTTTTTGATTCATTGAATCCGCCCAAGCACGTGTTTCATAATCCACTGTTGGTAATAAGTTATTACTAAGGTCTAGGACCTTAATATTATTTTGAGAAATGATCTCACTTGGAATGGACTGAAATAAGTTCTTAGACAAAGACAATTCTGATAGATGATCAATATTAATGAGTAAATTTTCTGGTAAAATATAAAGATCATTATCTGACATATCCAAATGTTCGAGATATTCAAATTTTCTAAAAAGGGCTATAAATCTTTTAAGAAACATGTCATTTGAACGAGCATGCATAATAATAAACAACTTAGCACTTCTCCACAATAAATATTTTACATTTATGAAATTAACTAGCTCTATTGTGTACAATGTCACGTGAAAATGACCATCTAAGACCAAAGTTTCAGTTTTGTATGTAGCGTTTCCTTCATAAACTACAGCATTGTTTGTATAACTAAACGACACATCGAGGTAAGTCAAATTGCTTCCTCGACGTATAAAGAATAATCTGGAAATATCATCACAGAGTACATTACCCAAAACTAACTTTTCTAAAGAACGTGGCAAATATATTATGTTGTTAGAAAAATGATAATCTTGTGCGTAATGATGAAAATCATTTGCGGATAGCTTATATCGAACTGGAATAAAAGAATAGTCGAATGTTTTCAATGCAACAGATTTGTTAAAAAATGTTTTTAACTCGTCCATATGTCTTCCCTTAGCAAACGCAAACCGGTTTCCTTTAAAATATAAATGTTTTAAACACTCTGGTCGATCGAATGACAATAGCGAGTTTTCATCAAAATCAACAATCCCGTTGTCGGATAATTCCAAAGTTTCTACACAAATTGTTTTCAAATATTTCATCATGTCTTTTGTTACAGTTAACGCAAACGGATATTCATTATTATTGAAGATGGGACAGTTAAGACCCCGAAAATTCATTATTTCAATAGTTTTGCCACTATATGGTGACAGCATGTTAAGAGCCTGTTTCAGATGCATGCATGATTCATCAAAATTTATTTTGGTAATATTAGGAAAAGGGACAAGAACATTGTTTTCCACTTCCAAAAAATTTAAATGACATCTAGTCAGTTTCAATTCGTCTAGATTCGATGAAAAGTTTTCGAATGTATATCCTCGTAGATATTTTAAAAAACAGAATTCAAATGTTAATGATTTCAGGTTTTTAAGCCCTTGAAATCCTATTCCAAAAGACGGATTTGGAGCCATATCTAATGCTAAGTATTCTAGTTTTTTTAAAACGGTAAAAGCTTGATCAGGATAATGGTATAAATCCACAGTCGGTTGATTCGGAATATTTCGTCGTATGTCCAGATCAATTAAATTTTGCAACGGCAAAAGCATTTCTGGTGTATAGACATATCTCAGGTTCAAAATGTTGTCAGACATATTCAAAAACTTCAATCGACCCAATCCATAAAATGCATGTTCCTCAATAATGTGCAGTTTGTTTTTAGCCAACGATAAATTGTGCAATAAACTGTAACTTTCAAAAGAGAAATTACTGATATGACGAAGTTTGTTTCCCCTAAGATCCAGAACAGTGATATCACGTGGAAGTGCCTGTGGAACTTCTCTAAAGCCTCTTTTACTACAGTCAGCTATCTTCACTTGTTCTGATAAATAATCATGAACTGTAATGTTACATTCTTGAGCATATACCAAAGAAAGTAACATGACAAAACCCTGCACTATCTGATATCTATAGTTATACATTCTAATAAAGATGTTCTATACAGTTATATTTAACTAATATCGTTATAATTCCACCATCAATACACTCACAAATATAAAAAAAACAGATCACAGAATCACTTTGTTTTTATGAATTACATTCATTCAAATGTCAAAAACGTATCAGTACCAGTAAATAACTATTGAACGATATTTCATTTTAAATGTCTTAATTGGCAAGCTGACTCTTTGCTATGTGGATTGACACAACCAATTGAAGGTATCTTCCATACGCTTTAACTAATATCATTTAATATATTTTCTTCCGGGTAACTCTTTTTATGTGAATTTGTATATGTAACCACGCAGGTGTAAAAATATAATCATCAATCGTAAAGCGAATTGACCGAGTAAAATAGTAAAATACAGCTTCAATAGCGGTTTATGTCATTTACAAAATTATTAAATAGTAAACAATAAAAAATAAACAGATATTAACAAATTCACATCTTTTAATTAGTTGAATGTCCTTCTGGTATGTTTCGTCTCTCTTTTACAAATGTAATAATCGTAGCATGATTTCTCAAAAACGATATATCTTAATAAAAACAAAAGAGAAAAGAAATAGAAATACTACGACTAATTCTTAGAAATGTAATTTAAAAACGTTTACTGAAATTTTTTACTTACTTTAAACATATTTTATTTCAAAAATCATGTACATGACATATACATATAAATACAGTAATACATTAATACAAAGGGATTCGGAAACAAGGTTTCCCTTATACTAATCCGTCTCCCTGTCAAAAAAGAAAAAGGGAAATAACTGCAAATAAAAGTAGATTTTTTTTCGTCAGATCATTCCTATATAAATGTGGCGGTGTGTGTTTCCAGGACTTTGTCAAGACTGTCTCACCCAAATCGCGATCCCAACCATGAAAGACGCTATATGCCAAATCGCTTTGAATCTACTAAAAATTGTTGAACTTGTATAAACACGAGTAGATTTTCCTATTGACTGAGAATATTGCTGCCAAACAGGAGTGTTTTTATATTGTATTGGAACGGAATTGTTTCTTCGTACGTTTTCGAATAAGGGAGTAATTATTACACTCGAGAAGAAAATGCTTACTGCTCTCGATTCTACCGCAAGTACAGTTTTTACTTTCAACAAGATTTCTCTTAAATAAATGTTCATTTAGATTACTGCAATCCATCCGAAGTCTGGCATGAAGTATTTGTCCATTCCTGTCTCCATAAAAATAATAATTTGGTATTTTACTTACGTTTTGATTAAGGTAACGTTTAAGTGTAAACTTAGATGGACTTAATCTCATATCGTCCGAAATAGCATTCCAGGATCGAATAACTGATGGAAGAAAAGATTTCTGATAAAATGCTGTTCTACACTTTATATGTTGCGTGTCATTCGTTCGTCTTGTGTCATAGTTATGAATATTAAACAATTGTTGAGGGATAATACCGCTTAGATAATCAGGGGTCTTATTGTGAAACATTTCATGAAATTTTAGAATTTTGTGTTTTTTACGTCTTTCTGATAGTAACTCCCATCCCGTTTCGTCGTATAATTTGTTTATGGATGATAACTTGGTACCACCAGTAACTATCCTAGCCGCTTCAACTTGCATAATTTCTAATTTGTCACTTAAATAGTCTGGAATATTGTCCCAAATAATATCTGTATATTCACATAAAGGTCGGATAAAACTTAGATATATAGTTTGTAAATACTTTCATTTCAATTTGAATTTTAAAGCACGAAATAAATTTAATCTGGGTGTTATCTTTTCAATTATTTTATTGACATGAGAATGCCACGAACCATCCTTATGAAAAATAAACCAAGGTGTTTATGGCTTTCAGCTTCTGAAATTATATTATTATTCATATAAAGAGGGGGGTGATGGGGTTTTACTGTTTTCTTGGAAATTGTCATAGCTTCAGACTTTTTTGCATTAAAGTTTACTAGCCATTGGATTGACCAATTGTTGATAGTCTCTATATCAGAATTAAGTTTGCTCGCTGCTGCATATTCATCTTCAACTACTATGAACAGGGAAGTATCGTCAGCATATAGTTTTATATTACAGTCTATGTCGCTTACAATGTCATTTATATATACTAAGAAAAGAAAGGGCCTAATATTGATCCTTGAGGGATGCCAGCATTTACACCAAAAGTATCCGAGGATTGACCAGAAATAACAACTTTTTGTTTCCGATTTGATAAATAGCTCATAAAACACTTTAACAGGTTTCCTCTTATACCAATATTTCTAAGTTTATAAATTAGACCGTCATGCCAGACTCGATCGAAAGCACGACTTATATAAAAAAAAAAGACAACACGAATCTCTTTTCCTGAGTCAAGAGCTTTGCCAAATAAATCTGCTATGTGTAAAAGTTGGTTAATTGTAGAATCTCCAGGCATGAAACCTGACTGGGCACTTGTTATTATATTATGTTTTGTCAAAAAGTTAAAGAAATGCTTAAAAACACAACGTTCCATACTCTTACCAATGATAGACAAAAGTGATATTGGCCTATAGTTTGACACCAGTTCTCTATCACCACTTTTGAAAACTGGTATAACGCTTGCTAATTTCCAGTTTTCTTGATAAACAGCTTCACGTATAGATGTATTGAAAAGCTGAGCCAGGGGCCTACTTAACTCTTGAACAGCATACTTCAGAAGCCTACCGCTAATTTCATCAGGACCCGTCGCTTTAGTGACATCTAACGTAGACAAGTGATCAAACACTTCCTCTTCGGTTATTATAATATTGTTTAAGATAGGTATATCATTGGACAGGGGGGTATTAGGAAAAGACGCTTTAGAATCATCCACGGTCACTTGCTTACAAAAGAAGAAATTAAATGCGTTTGCTTTTTCATTATCGTCTTCTATATATTCACTTTTTACTAACAAAAGAGGGTTATTTGACGCTTTCGAAGGCTGCCCAGACAGATTTCTCAAAAGCTTCCACCAATTCTTTGCATTTGTTTCTGGATTCTCTAATATAGCTACTTGTTTGTTGAAAAAGTCAAGTTTAGCTGTTTTGATAAGATTTATGCACTGATTCCTAACATATCGAAATTGCCGCCAAGAATCAGCAGTATTTTTCTTTTTTGCCATTTTATGAAGTCTTTTTCGGTGCCGAATTAGTTTTTTTATATGACCAGTTAGCCATGGTGGGTCTTGAGATCTAACTTTGACAAATTTACAAGGTATATGTTTTGCAGCTATTTTTAATATAGTTTCTGTAATGTTGTGACGGCAACATTTACGTCATTATTATCAATATTATTATACCAATTGACTTCACTTAGATCAAAATAATTAGTCAAGTCTACGTGATCATAGTCCCAAATTTTCCTACTAAAAAATTTATTTGGTGTTTTTTTAATGTTTATAATGCCACTCACTGGACAGTGATATCTTACGTTAGCTTCCAAAATGTTATTACCGACTTCAGTGTATAAAAGTATGTCAGGGTCGTTTACTTAAATTAAATCCAGTAAAGATGAACTGGTTTCGCAAAAAAAATGTCGGCTGTTCAATTGCTTGATTCAGACAGTTTTGCAAAATAATATTTGTAAGTTTTGTATTACGAAAATTCAACAAGTTTTCGTTGAAATCGCCCGTTACTACTATTTTATCAATACCTGAATTAAAAGCATTTTCTATGGACAAATTTATAATATCCCAGTATTGCGCATTAGAATCAGGGGGTCTGTAAAATACTTCAAACAGACATTTACATTTTTGTGTGTTAATTTCTATCCAAAGACACTCAAGATTTTTTATTTCAAGATCATGACGTCGTTTACTTGGTATATTTTCTTTTACATAAACTAGGACCCCACCACCGATTCTGTCTCCATCCCGATTCTTTCGATATGGAGTCTTAAAATTGTCTAATTTTAATTGGCTATCAGCAATATCGGACTTAAGCCATGTTTCGGTAAGTAAGATTAGGTCCCTGTCCCCCAGCTCAGCTTCAACTATTGATTTTTTAGGGAGAAGACTTTGTATGTTTAAGCATGAGAAAGCAAAAGATCTTTATAACGATAAAAATCCAACATATCAGTTGAACTATCATTATGCAAGCAGTTATCTGGTGAGTCGGACGTTGGATCTGGATTTAGTTCGATATCCCCTGTCGTATAAATAATAAGAAATAGATATAAAAATAACTGACAAATCGCTAGACCAGTGTCATATGTATATTCATATCTACCCATCAAAGGAATTGCTTTTTTTGTTTCTAAAAACCATCTGGAACTTATTACATACGAATTCAAACTTGAGAGCAAACATGTAGAACAACTTCGATTTTCTAAATTTGTTTTTAATTGAAAGTATAAAACTATTGTGAGAGCCTTTGTGCCAATTTGGGCAAGCAGATTAACTAATATAATTGTATCTAAGTCGATCGAGTGAGACAGTCGAGTAGACCTGACATAGTGTAGCCCAATACGTGCTCTATATGTATTTAGGTCACTTCCCATTGTTTACATTTCGTGTAGATGAATATAGTAAAAGACAGAACACATGTTGGGAACACTACAATAATAATATTACTGGTAAGAAAATGATAAGTACAACACTGATTTACACATCCGACGCCTGCACAACAAAAAGGAAACAAATAAACAGTAAGTAACAAAAATATAATTATATACAAGTTTTAGCATTTTCTTTGGGAGTTTTACCCATGACAGGAAAATAAATTGTACACAAATCATAATGCACGATAAAGAAATATTAATGCACATTTTAATTTCAATTGGAAGTATCAAAAGGAAGAGTGATCCTTTGTTCATTAATGACTTAATTTATTAAGTAATTATCATTTAGAAAAGACCATCTCAAACAGCCACCCCACCCCCCCCCCCCCCCCTCCAAAAAAAAAAATGAAAAAAAAACAAACAAACAAAAAAATTGATTTTGAAATTTTTTTGTATGTATCCCCATTTTACACAGGACTGCCGAAAATAAGCCCTATGGTTTTTTGGAGACAAAAATATATCACATAAACTCACCCACACCTCCACACACATTCTATATACACATCAATTCCAAATTCAATAAGGTAAATATACAATTTATTAGCGTCCATCGTTTTCAACAATTCCAATTGTTTACTTACATGAGCAACACGAGCAGCACGACGGGTGCAACATCTGGAGCAGAATCTGCTTACCTTTCCGATGCACTTCACTGGTATTTGATAGGGTTCGTGTTGCTCAGTCTTTAGTTTTTTATGTTTTGTTTTGTATACTGCTATTTGTCTTTGGTTTTTTTTTTTTTTTTTTGTCATGGCGTTGTTGGTTTATTTTCGAATTATGAGTTTGAATGTCCCTTTGGTATCTTTCGCTTTTCTTTTAATTAGTTCTGTTTTGTGTTGTTAATTTTTGTCAACGTGAGAGTTGCTTTACCGTAACAAATAAAAAATAGTATAAATAAAAAAGACAGATATTTTCATTTCGAATAATTACGACCTCTTATTCGAGAGAAATCAAGAATTGTCAACGTGATAATTGCTTTACCATAACTAGTAAAACGTTCTGAATATACACCTTTAAAGGAGGCCGTTAATGTATTGTTGTATTGCATAGTTTTAGAATATATCAATTTCATTTAAAACCTAAAGTTGCAATCAGATCGATAAAAAAGTATTTAATAATCTTGTTAATTTGTGCAAACATTTCATTTTTTCCTATTGATTTGAAAATGGTTTTCGACATTGTTACTAACTCCTTTTTTTTCTTTCATTGGTTTTCAACGAAATCAAAGTAGAATTTGTAATAAAGGAAGCTACTTTAGAAATAAACTCAATGGTTTCTTGAAGCAGGCGGGGCTGACAAGAATCCTGACATTTTAACAAAAAGTCAGCATTTCAATTGACACTCAACTGTCCGAAATTGTGAACTCATGTAACACAGTCATACAAACATACAAATACTTCTCAAGTACAAAAAGGAGATGTATCTTGCCAAGTTTCTTAGTATCATTTTCATATATATTGATTATTTCCTGTAAATAAATTACCCATATTTCAGTGAGAAGATGCATCTCATATATCTTAATGAATTTTAGATTTATAATGATACTACCGAAACAGATGGTAATCTTCAAATAATGATATTTCCAATGATATTGACACTGATTACTGCCTTCAAACTAGAAAATATGATAAACGTGATGATTTCAGCTTTCAATGTCGGATTCCCATCTCAAAGCTGAAACATATCCCCAGTCCCGTCGTATGGCGTTTAAACATTTCAATTGATATGTAACACTCATGTATGATAATTTTACCGACATCATTAACTGGGGTGTGTCCTGACATAAAAAACACTCTAACACGTTATCAGGAAGATTACTAGTAATTGAGGGGCATCGGTGGCCGAGTGGTCTAAGTAGTCAAACTACTGTATCACTAGCCTGTCAACACTAAGGTTAGTTCGAATCCCGCACATGAGAAGTGCTTATGACTCCAATCTTAATTGAGTAGGTGTTTCAGTTTCATATCGAAGGTCAGTGGCTATCTCCGAGCACTCCGGCTTCCCCCATCAATAAAAATTGACCGCCACGAAATAGTACAAAAGTGTTGAAAGTAGCATTAAACACAAATCAATCAATCAATCAATACTAGTTACTGAAATCGACACCACATAGTTTGACGGTCATCATTACGACTAAATTTACCTATACAATATGTCTGTAATCTTGCTGAAACTCGGTAGCGACAGGATATTCTACTGTTCTATTCGAACTACTGTAGACCCTGATTTTAGAATTATCAATTAATAATATTGTGGTATATTCCCATATGTCAACTAAAAAATAACCGATGAAATAAAGAAAAGCAACATTTATATCCAAGGAAAGTGTTACTCTATATAGTTGCATTCATTTCATTTCGATTCATACAATCAGGAATAAAAAAACATACACTGATACAACGCATTGAAGAATCAGCCAAAAAAGCACTTATTTGTCTAAATTAAGGCTTTTGGAAACTCCAATATCGGCCGCTAAACTTCCATACAGACTTCAAATAATATCATTTCATGAATATGAAATAATATCACTTCATTGTTTAAATAAATACATGTCACACATAACAAACACATATTATCCAACAGGAATTTGAGTTCTGAATTCCAATATATAATGGATAATTTAATCGAACAATCACGAATAATGCAAGATCCATTTGTCATATTATTTCATAACATAAGTTTAATCATAAGTTTGATCAAGAAGATTATGAAGCCAAGATTATTTATTACAAGATTTTGATAATTATTTGATAGTATTACAATCTTTCCCTTAACAAAAAAACCTATGATTTTTATAAACATTTAAAGGTTTCATAACGAGTGAGAATTGGATATCGCCTTTTCTTTAATTCTTCGTCAATTTATCCTTTTCTGCACCCATTGTATAAAAAAATTTAATCAACGTGTGGTTCGTTTGATCTCAGTTCTTCATTGGTTAAAATCAGATTATGACGTCGAATTTACTTGCTTTCCTCTGAATTTCCTATTATGACGGCATGAAAAAAGGCTACCATGCCTGATGACGTCACATAGAAAGAACACATGTTTTTACAGATCATTCGAATAGACGGAATATGTTTGCCTGCATATTGTTTGAATATCATTAGAGAAACAGATTCCACCACCAAATCTCGTGTAATACGATATTTATCCACTCTCGACAGTTAAATTTTAAATATTTAAAACGCTCGGCGAGCCTCGCGTTTTAAATTTGAAAATTTAACTGTCTCGAGTGGATAAATATCGTATCACACTCGATGCAGTGGTAGATTCTATATCTATCAACTCGAGTTATTTAATTGCAATATAATAATAAACGAGCTTTCGGCGAGTTTATTATTATTATTCAAATTAAATAACGAGAGTTGATTTCAAGCGATATCCAATTCTCACAAGTTGTGAAACCTATTTCTCTTATAGTCAACACTTTCAGAATCGTTGATCTAGTCTTTTTCACATACCAATATGACGTCATATGTCCTGTTCCGATGTAAAACTTTAACATCAGACATTTTAAAACTTTTTGTACGCTTCAGAATGTAATAAAATTTTACAGAATGAAAATTTTCAGGTGAAAAGTGTCAGCGTTTTGTATATTATTGAAGAAATCACATATGTCCATTTCCACGGACGAAATGTACATCGTCTTAACCTTTGAAAGTTATCAATGACCTAACGAATAGCCAATGGAAATGTCGTAATATCGTCTCATGATGCTGAATAAGCCAATCAAATTAACGCATATTTTCATATCACTTTTTCGTATCACACTCCGTGCAGTGTGACACGAGAAATATCTCTTCATGCAAGAAATCGATAACAGGCAACAACCATTAGAGAAAAGAATATTAGGAATGATATTTTACATAAAATCCTGACATATCCATAGCCTTAATTGTTGCCACATGATATCGATATCATCGGTGTCATCTGTCCACTGAATGAATGATACATAGTTCCAAATATAAGTTAGTTCTGTTGGAATGTTTTTCAATGAAATGTCCTTTGCTAAAACTATAATGTTTTCTATATTACGTATCCTTTTCTCGTGTTTTACTCTTTCAACTGCAAAAAGGTAATCTTCTGACGCTTTAAAAGATGGAGTAAGCAAAAAAATAACATGTCTACTGTTTTCTATACTTTCTGCTTCTGTATCGAAATAAGAACCTCCTGGTAAGAAGTCACGATCTTTGAAACAAATTTTGAGTTTCCACTCGTGTTCTAATTTTGGAACTAAATAATTTTTAATCCAAGGTACGCTGTCTCCTCCATATGAAACGAAAACGTCATAAGTAAAGCTTCTGCAATATTTTTTTTTGAGAATTTTTCGGAATTGGCGGTAAAAGAATAAAGAAATTTCCCATCGTTTACCATATATAAAAAATAACAAAGCAGTTACGAAACACGTGGACAACAAAGTTGAGGCCACGGTAAGCCATATTGAACTTTCACAATGAAGAAACAAATCATGCATCTTCTCGTAGGCCTCTCGTACAGTGATTAATGAACCATTAACAAGGGTACATTTATACGAGCGACTGTCAAGCTTGACTTTGGTTTTATTTATCCATTCAATAAAGTCCAAATTGTCACATTTACATTCAAATGCATTATCTGCCATCAAAACATTTAACCCTTGTTTTTGATTCATTGAATCTGCCCATATTCGTGTGTTTTTATCCAATGTTGTTAAAAGATTTTGACGAAAATCTAATAATTTTATGTTTGAAAGATCCATGATTTGTCGAGGAACTAAATGAAATAAGTTTTTAGACAAACGTAATTCTGAAAGATATTTCATACTTTGTAATAAATTTTCAGGTAAAAACCACAGGGAATTTTTTGACATATCTAGGTTTTCTAAGTATTTTAACTTCTTGAATACTGACTGTATCATCGAAGAATATTGCTTATCATCAGGGTACATGTGAATATACAAACTAGCATCTCTCCACTTTAAAGTTTTGATTTTTCCGTTATTCATCAGTTCTTCTTGATCTATAAACGTAGAATGTGGATGACCATCTATTAACAATGTTTCGATTTTCTGAGATGAGTTCTTTTGAAACAGAATTCCTATAAGCGAAAAACCAAATGAAAGATCCAAGTATGTCAAATTGCTTCCTTCTGGAATTAACAAAAGTCTTTCAAAATCATAACATAACACATTACTTAGAAGTAAAGTTTCCAAGGAGCGAGGAAAAATAATGACTTCAGAAGATTTACTTTGTTGTTTCTCATGGACAACGTTTCTACCCAGGTCTTTATTGCTCAGTTCATATCGAACTGGAATATATGAATAGTCTAAGGTTTTTAAGTTTTTGGAGTTTTGAAAAAAACTTTTTATTTCATCCATTTGTCTGCCCTTTGAAAAGGCGAAACGGTTTCCTTTGAAGAAAATATGTTCTATACATTCTGGTCTATCAAACGACAGTAACGAATCTTTCTCAAAATCAACTATCCCGTTGTCGGATAAATGTAACCATTCGACACAAATAGTTTTCAGATATTGCATCATTTCTTTTGTGATTGTCAGTACGAAATTATTATTTTCATTATTGAATACAGGACAGCTCAATCCTCCGAAATTTATTAGTTTAAACCTCTTACCACTATAAGGAGATAAGATATTCAGTGCCTGCTTTAGATGCATACAAGTTCCTTCTAGGTTTAACTTGGTCATCTTTGGAAAAGGAAGAAGAATATCATTTTCTACATGGACTAAATGTAAGCGACATCCTGTTAAATTTAACTCATTTATGTTCGAAGAAAAGTTTTCAAACACACTTTTGTTAAGATATTTCAAAAAACAAAGTTCGAAAGTCAACGATTTCAACTTTTTCAATATCCTAAATCCTTTACCAAAACTCGGATTTGGAGCCATGTCTAATGCAAAGAAATTCAACTGTTCTAAAACAGCAAAAGCGTTATCGGGGTAGTGGTACAAGTTGGTATCAGACGGTTGTTTTATGTTACGTCGAATATCTAGGTTTGTTAAATTTACCAACGGTAGAAATTTTTCCGACGTATAGCTATGCAACAAATTCAATTTGTTTTCTGACATATCCAAAAATTTCAATCGATTTAATCCGACGAAACTCTTTTCTTCAATATGATGAAGTTTGTTTTTCTTTATGATCAATTTTTCCAATATTCTGTACCGTTCAAAATCATAATTGCTGAGATTTTTAATATTGTTCTCACTAAGATCCAGTATATTGATATCATTTGGAAGAAATGTTGGAACTTTCGTTAATCCAATATTTTTACAATTGGCTATCTTCACCTTTCTTTCTGTTGATTCCGTAAGTACGATATCACATTGTAAGGATGTTACAAAGGGAATTAGCATGAAAGAAATAATCACGTATTTAAAATAAGGCATGGCTACGAAGTCACGTTTTTATCTGTTTACTCCCTTTTCAGTTTCTTCTCATATTGAAAAACGTACATATTTTAAGTGCCCAGAAGAGATCAGTTGAAGAGTAGTTTAATCTTTTTTAAACTGAATTACGTGTGATCAATGAAAAGTCATCGATGAAATAGAAAGTACTAGTACATATTCCGTACACAGTACTTGTCGTTTTAAATATTTGATTGTTTATTCGGAGTTATATGCACTTATTTACATATAACTTCAGGTCCATAGTTGTGATCTGTTAACTTTAAATTTTGGTTGGCAATAACTCACTGTAAGAACTATAAATAAATTAGGAAGTTTAAGGTCGATGATTTCATTCCATTATTTCCCGCCTTCTTTATTCTCTAACATATTTCTGAAAATAAAAAAAAGCGTTATGATTGTCTTTGGATTAATAAAGATATGATTAATTTTAAAACTATTTCCTATGGATCAACATTTTAGATTTCTAAACAAAATATTTAAAATCTAACACGCTTATGTAGATATGTTTTGTATATATATACATTGATTATTTTGGAATTCTTTAGTTTTTTGTATACTATTGTTTGTCTGTTGGTCTTTTTCTTTTTTTGCCATGAAGTTGTCAGTTTATTTTCGACTTATGAGTTTGAATGTCCCTTTGGTATCTTTCTTCTCTCTTTTGTAAGTTCCATTTTTTGTCGAATATTTTGCGGGAATCCCTTCATGTCAACTTTACCATGCCGAATCAGACAGACCAGTATAATTTAGAAAAAAATGTGTTCTTTTATGACTGAAGATATCAAATATATACAACAATCACAGACGATACGAGAAAATCAAAGACATTTAGAAGTCAATCAAACAGTTTTCAGTAGACAGATATGTATAGATTTAATACAGACTCCTAATTTCACCGACCAAAACATGTTATGGTAACTTTCAGTCAAACATCAGCCATCAACACCAAATTCCCAAAATGACAAAAAAACATAAAGATATCACAAAGGCCCTTTTCAACTGATGTTTATAGTTTGTTCTCATGTTGTGCTGTTACACTACTCTCCCAGAATAGGGAAGGTTTGGTGCACACAAACATGTTTAGCCAGCCACATTCTGTATTTGCCTTTCGAAAGTCAAAGCATGTAATTCAGTGGTTGACGTTTGTTGTTGATTATCATTTTTTATACCCCCGCTTTAAAAAGTGGGGGTATACTGTTTTACCTCTGTCTGTCCGTCCGTCCCATGAATATTTTTCGTCGCATCTTTCTCAGGAACCACACTACAAGGATTTCTGAAATTTGGTTTCAGGGTTTATATAAGTCAGCTATACCGTGTGATGCGTTTTCAGATTCATCACTCAACAACTTCCTGTTTACCGTCAAGTACTTGGCCGGGGGTATCATCAGTGAGCATTAGCTCACAGTTTCACTTGTTTTTTTTATTGTTTTGTACATAAATCAGGCCTTAAGTTTTCTCGTTTTAATTGTTTTACATTTGTGAATTCGTTGCCTTTTATAGCTTGCTATGCGGTATTGCTTTTGTTCATTGTTGAAGGCCGTACGGTGACCTATATATGCTTACTTTTACGTCATGTGGTCACTGAAGGAGAGTTTTCTCATTAGCAAACATATCGCATTGTTTTTATTTTGATACAACTGATGACTTAGGAAAGCAACATGATTCTGAAATGGAGTTAAACCACTTCTGGTATCTCACACACATAGTACAACCGTCCTGTTGCTCTTTTATAACCTAATATCTGCTGACACGTTTTTCAGGTAATCTGCAGTGTGTGACCGTATCTGTTTGGTTAAAAATATAATACGGTTCGGTAATACTGTATACGACACAAAATAGAAATTATATTTTACAATTTTAGCTATTGGATATTAAATCTATAGAATAAATGAAAACAACACGTTATAAATTGCATGCGTACAAAGCGCTTATTTCTGGATTCATATCCATCAGGAACGCTCAAAGCCGAATATTTGAAAACCAAGGCTGTATAAAAGCCGAAGGCGAAAAACTTTTAGGTAGGCAAATCAAATTATTTTCATAGTTAATTGTCTTAAGCAATCGAAAATAGATATACAAATACCTTGTTCAGTCTTTAATTTGAACTGTATTGGCTTAATCCTTGTTACCGAATGATTGCACTTTTTGTAATAGAGCAGTATGCGATAATTAATATGTTTTCGTACGAATATTATATAAATAAAGCATAGCTGCCCCGAAGCCAAGGTTGACAATGTCTTTTCGAGGGGTAACAATCTGCTTTATCATCCTCTCAGGTATGTGTCAATTAATCTATTATACTGAGTGTTCTGTTATAACTTTGTATTAAATTTAAAATTAACACTAATAAACTGTGACGTCTTGTACATAACAACCATCCGCTGAAAGCATATTATTAGAGCTATCTTCTCATGTTTTATCTTAAAATTCTATGGTGTAGTTTTCTTTTTATCACATAAAATTGGGTTTTCCATGTAAATCTATACAAAATCTGACAATTTTTTCACAACCTGTAGCGTGAAAAAAAGGCCGGTGACCCATACTTTTTATTATATTTTTGAAAAAAAGCATGATATAAACTACATTTTGACAAATTATTAAAAAATTCTATGGATTTTAATTTAGAAACCCCCCCCCCATCTACCTTAATCAATCAAAATGTGACATTTTGGAATGAAGTATAATAAATCAAATTATTGTTTTAGCAAATAGGGCGTAATATTACATTTTGACATGAGGTAAATCTAAATTTGTCATCGCTGTTAAATTTAATTCCGTTTCTTAACCGAGGATTTGATATGCTGTATACGTCAAAATTAACATTTCATTGAATCTAAAATTTCTGTAATATTGTACAATTCCCCTTCCCCACTTCTGCTGTTATTTCAAGATTTTAATCATATAAAGACAGAAACAGAGGAAAATAGGTTTGAAAATTTAACAACCAATTGAAATTTAGTTAGAATTGAGATTTTTACTTTGACTTTTGCATTTTTTAATAATAAATTTCATATCAAATTAACATGTTCTCGTCCTGAATAAACATTTAACTCACCGCATCCAGCAACTCGTTTCAGTGCAGAAATGATTTTCAGTAGACGATTGAATAATGATTTTACATATATAAATGATATTTGTGAAAGTGTCGCTAACGTGTATTTATTCGTCATTCGTAAACAACCTTGTTTACTTTTAATCTTTTATTTCTGGTATCTATGATGAGTTTATTGGCATTAATTTCGTCCTTTTTTGGTATATATAAAATCTTTATTTTTTCACGCTTTGAATTTTTAGTATTTTTGCCTCCAGCATCGATAATAAGACTTTTATTGTCAAAATGTACATCTGGTGAAGTACACTTGGTACAATTAATGTTATTAATACCACTGGATCGATACCTATGCTGATGGACTGTTAGTCCCCGAGGGTATTTCATGCCCAGGAGCCAATACAGTACTGGCCTGAAAATACGGTTATTGTGGTATCTAAATTTTGGAAATATGATTAATTTAAGGGTGTATTTCCCTCATGAAAAGATTTGATTCCTTGCCCGGCTTTGGCTATACTTTCGTCATTTTTGGTTGATAAGCTCACTGAAGAGACCTTTTTTCTCGAAATTCTACTATAGTTTTTGTCAAAAATACAAAATTGGGTAAAATCGTCATTAGAGGGCAGTGAATCCTATTAGGTTTCTCCTGACAATGTCGGCTACGTTGATCTATATGATGATCTTTTGAGTTTTTTTTTATGTTTGCTTTTATCGTTTTTCTCTCTTGTCTGTAGTTTTTACACAAAAGCAAAAACTGTGTAAAAAAAATGTCGTTAAAGGGCAGTAACTACTGTAAGGAGTCGACGGAAAATTTTGGCGATTCAACTTTTTTGTAGATTTGTCTTGCTGGTCATTTTGCAGTTAAATATTTCTCTCTATCTATTAAAGTTTTCAAGATAATAGACAAATACTAAACAAAATGGTGAAAATCTTCAATTAAGGGCAATAACTCTTATAAGGAGTCGACTAACAATCTTGATAACATGGACAGTTATTTCTCTATTTATAACAGTTTTCAAGGTAATATACATTATATACAATACTGGCCTTTGCCCCCTATGTTCTATTTTTAGCGATGTCAGTCATTTTGACTGGAAGGCGGGATCATCAGAAACATTTGATTAACTAAATACCCTAAAGGTAATTGTGGCCAAGTTCGATGCCAATGGCAAAGTAGTTTCAGAGAAGATGTTTGTAAAAGTTAATAGAATACTTTCAATGAAATGAAAAAATAATGAAAATAAAGTGCTGTTATCATAACTTACAAATAACAATACATCCATGTTTAAAACAAACATACTGGAAAGGGGAAATAAAAAAAAACGTTATTCTCACGATATTATTTGCTTGGGAAAACATACGTCTTAAATTAATAATTGGCTTACTGAAGACTTTGTGTTAGATACTAAACTGTTCACTTGCGGAGACTTTGAACTTTCGAATGAACAAAATTTCCCAACTTTCAAACATGTTCAAGATTTTATTAAAAGGTCAATCAGATTTCTAGTATCTTCATAAAGTGTTATTGATACTGGCATGGAAGATCATCGTCATCAAAAACTTGGTCATCAACACAGAAAATATGATTTGTTTTTTTTTCTTTACTTCCTTTTATTAAATAATATCAATTATTTTATAGTTCATATAATATCTAATGAATTTGTTCGTTTTATATGCATGCTCATAATATTATTATTGTATACATACTGATACTGTGATATGGAGAAGACTTCATCAGTATTATTTTCTTGTGTTTCATCCATTTTGCTTAGATTTTGCAAATAAAATGTGATTAAACTAAACTAATCAATACTGTCATTTTTTTTAAATCATTGCCACATAGAATATTGCACTGACTTTATCTTTGCATAGTTGATTAAAAATTTATATTAATTCGTTGCATGAAAGCTGTTCAAATTATATATATATATATATATATCTATGAATTGTAGGTAAATCAAATACTTACTAATTCAGTACTGTTTGCAGATAGTTCTTTCAATTTCTTCTACATTTATTTGATATAAAAATAAGAAGATATTTATTTGTCGTTTCGCAGTGTTTGTGGAGAAGTTATAACCATTCACTTTGGTTTTTTCTTTTTTTTTTGCTGACATGTACATTAATGCGGAGGAGTTCTACCTTTTGTTTGCAGTGGAAATTATTATCAACCAGCGTAAATTGATATTCAGGTTTTGGGGAGGTTATAACACTTTACTTTGGTTTTTTGCTGACATGTAAATTAATGCGGAGGAGTTTTACCTTTTGTTAGGATTTGAAATGATTATTATCCAGTGTAAATTGATATTCAGGTTTATAGAAAGTGTTGACAATTCTTAATGTTCTGCTCTATAAAGTTTTCATTGTTAGGACCATTTAAATCACATCACTAAAATAAATGTTTCATATTAACCTGTTAAGTGCAAAAAGAGACTATGGCAAGCCGTTTTTATATTTATTCCATTTACAAGATATCTTATAAAGTTAAAACGATCTATTATAAACTAATCGCGATATCTTATATTTTAGATAAGATATCGTATTTAGTTTATTATATATCTTATATAGCTAGTTACAAGATGTCATATTTAGTTCAACATACATCTTGATTATTTCAACAGATATCTTATAAACTATATAATTTATCTTACATATTTTGTATTTAAAAATATTATTAATTAGATATCTTGTAAACTACATAATATATCCAATGAACTAAAACAAATATCTTATAAATTAAATCAGATATCTTATAAATTTAATAAGATATCTTATAAAGTATATAAAATATCTTTTATTTAATAAAAGGTATCTTAAATATTCAAAAAGATATCTTACAAACTAATTGAGATAGTTCATGGATTAAAAAGATGTCTTATAAACTTATAGATATATCTCATTAACTAAATACGATATTTATAAACTAATAGAGATATCATATAAACTAAATAAGATATCTAATATATTAAAAAGATATCATAGAAATAAATATTTCAAAGTTGGTCATAAAGTTAGGACTACACATTTGCTAAGATCATCCTAAGACAGCTTCGAAGAGAGGTCTGATATATGTCCTATGATAGTCATAAGAGGATCATACGACATGTCCTAAGATATATCTTATGACTGGTCTCAGGATAGCTTCGTGAAACAAGCCCCTGATAAATAAATCTTGTAAGATATCTTGTATAGACTATAAGATATTTCATCAACAATACAAAATATTTCATAAAGTATTTGTTTAAAAGACATTTTAAAAAGATATCTTATAAATAATATCTATAATAAGATATCTTATATAGTTAATAAGATATTTAATTAAGCATGTAAGATATCATATTTACTGCAACTGAAATAAGATATCTCATAAAGAACACATGATATCTTATATAGTAGGATATCTTATATTTTCTATCTTGGCTCTTAATTTCAGGTCCTTTTTGTCCACATAGCTTTCAACTGTTTCGCTTCTTAGACATTTGTATGAAATCTATGACGTGTTGTTTTTAATTTTACATCACTGAGTGCACTGAGTCGATACCGCTGCTGGTGGACTATCATTCTCCGAGGGTATCACCAGTTAAACTGTACTTTGGTACTGACATAATTTATAACAAAGCTTTTATTAAATTGTCCGTTTGTAAATTTATAAATTATTAAGAAACGAAGGTTTCAACTCCCTTAGTTGACCTTACATTGATTTAGCTATTATGTTTAGGTCCTTTTTGGCCGCAAAGCTCTTCAACTGTTTGGGTTCTTATACATCCATGGCTTTCTAATATGTGGCTTGAGCATACCTGGTGGAGTTAAATCTAGAAAAGCCCTTCGGACGAATGAAATTTATAAAGTGTTGTTTTCATAATTTTTTTTTAATTGAATAAATATAAAAACGGCTTGCCATAGACTTCATTTTGTAAACTTATGCTTCGCATACTTTGCGTGGATCATGAATCTCAGTTAAACCTAAAGAGCGAATTAAAATGAATAAATGTACTTAATTTACCCGGAAGTACATGTTTACCTTAAAATCCACAAATTTGATTGCGGATTTATCATATCAATCATATTTGAGAGATCAAAATGCATTTCACAGTCTTCCTCAAAAGAAACAAAAAAATATTAAGTTGATGAGAAAGATACAAAAATAATCCTAGTTATTATCTAATGTACTTACTTTATTTCTATAAACGATTTAGAACAATCCAGTTGATATCCATAATTACATTATGTTAGACTGTACAGAAAAGTATGGTAGA